ACTAAACACAGGGTCAAACAGAAGTAACACCTACTTGAGTGTCGTCAGTAGTATAATAATGCGGGTGTAAAAATTTATAGTTCTAATTTGAACATTTCACCTAAAATGTCATATGGTGCGCTTGAGTGTGATATTATTATGTTACAGAATTACATCCTTATGATTGTGTAATAAAAGGTTTTGTAATAAAAAGGGTGTTACTTGTGCTGGACCCTGTATACATCCAAAGAAGGGAGATCTACCATAAAATACTTTTCCCTTTTTAGTTCAGTATCAGGATCAATATCATCTAGCCCTAATCCAGTTTCAGCTTTTGTCACACTCCAATCTGATCACCCCTCCTCTTCCGAGGAGTTTCCCTGTACTTGACGTCCTCCATGACAGCAATTACTGTACAACTGGCAGGGAACGAAACAGGTGGCCTGCAGATCTCTCCTCAGAAGGCCATTCTTTTTCTCCCTTGGTACCTGCAGCATTCTCTTCTCTCATTTGGCAAAACCTGCAGAACCTACTTAATTTGAGCCATTGACAGAGTAGAAAGCTTGTTATGAAGAGGATGGTGCCATTAAAAATGACTACAGACGTGAGTCCAATACTTCTCATTCTTAAATAAGGTAGCAATGCTTTTAAAGCCTTTTCAATTTTATTTTTTTGTACGGACGGGTAAGCCACTTAAAGGCCTCATTTTTTTATTCAATTCCTTAAATATTTACTCAGTGCTGCGTTTATACCTGTACATGGTTTGGGGATGAAACTTCAAGAGAAGTAAGTTCCTACTCACATCAAGCAATCACTCAGTATAACTGGAGAGAAAAACAAACACATGAGGCAGGTTAAATATCATGTTTGTTTTCTATATCTAATACAGGCCTTTCTGCTTCTTTTTCTTTTTTTTTTAAGTTTGTAAGAAAGGGCTATGAGAACAATGTATCGAAATGTCAGCAATCTAAAAATTAAGTTGTCAGCTTTTTCTCTGTACTGCAAATTACAAAATAATTGGGGGCCTGGTGCTAATAGAAGCTTACAACTCTGAAGTATGCAATTTAAGCAATCACGGCAAGGTCTAAAAATGCAGTACTGAAGACATTTCATCCGAGTGTTCCACAATTCTGGTACCTAATTTCAACTTCTCTTTCGTGCCTTTTTATTTATTTTTTTTGCCTTCCCTTTGCTTTGGAAATGTATTCTGGAATACACAATTAAGAGCTGCCAGAGCTCCCATACATAAAACACATGGAAAAAATGACAGTCATTTTACCGAGGAGATAGTAAAGTCAATGAAAGCTTCAGCTATTCTGTGGTTCTTCCTTTCTTTATTCTCCCACCACATTAAATTCAGAAATCAATTATGTTTATGAAATGTACCTTACAGTTTCAGAATTTCAGACTTCCTCTTATAATTCATTCATCACTAATTTAGAGGAAAGTGTCTGTGATGATCTTGCACTGGAATTCTAATTTAGGATTAAAATGCTAAATTGTAAAATATTTTGCAAACAAAACAAAAACTTAAATAGAAATCAATTACCCCAATCACTGCAGGTATCTTCTAAACTTATAAATCTGTAGCTTTTTCCATTTTTTCCTAATTACCAACTGTAATCATGTCAGTTAAAAAGGAGAGTCTCATTCATTTATCAGGCAAAGTTAAAGCCAGCAAGATGCTTCAGACCATCTGGTTTTGCCTGCCCCACCCTTGTTTCCTTTGAGCCACAGTGATGTCACACCACTGGGCAGGGCAATGACTTCACTGCTCCAGTCCTTTCTTGTGAGCACATTAATTCTTTGCAGCCAAGGCAAATCAAATAACAGCAGAACCCTCTGGGAGCATCTGATGAATTCTCAACAAAATAACAGCTAGCTAGCCTTTTGAAAGAAATAGATGCAGCAATTGCACCATTAAAGATCTCTCTAAATGAAGTGGTGCTAAAGATAAATTGACTCATGGTTTTCTATAGTAAGCGTATAATTTCTATAGTAAGTCATAATAAAGCTGACATTCAGAGGGAAACTGTGGTTGAATACTTGGAACAGATGGAAACTAAAGATGACCTGGGCAGTAGAGTACTTAAGAAACCTCTGTCTTCATTACAGTCAAATTCTCACAGAAAAGAAACATGTATTTATTTTTCAGCCCATTCTTAAGAGTTCTATTTTACTGAAGAGAATATGAATTTTAATTTGTGAATTTTAAGACTTTTTTAAAGCACTAATCTAAAACATGAATGTTTATTTTACAACATGTAAGAAAGCCCTGGCTGGTGTGGCTCAGTTAGTTAAGTGTCATCCCAGACACCAAAAGATATCAGGTTCCAATCAGGGCACATACATAGGTTTTGGGTTCCATCACCAGTCACAGCGCTTAGAGGTAACCGGTCGATAGTTTTTTCTTTCTCTCTCTCTCCCTCCCCCACCCCCTTCCCCTCTCTCTAAAATCTATAAGCATGTCCCTGGTTGAAAATGTTTAAAAAGTTAGGAAAAAAAAGTAAGAAAAATCTCTTGGACAGCATGTTCTAACATACTTAATCCAACATACGGTAAATCCAGAAGGATTCCCAAAATAATGACAATATCATATCTCTCAGTACATGAAGGGTTGCCTCTCTTCTACCTGGGCAGTTCCTTAAAGCATTTGACCAACCAAATTCGAAACACTAATGTACATATAAAATAGCATCTAATCAAGTAAAAAAAAAATCCCTGATCATCTATTGCAACACAATTCAAAGCTGGTCAAAGACCAAGCACTGTACAAGAGTTGACAAAAATAGCTTTTAACACAGATCGCCTTTATACAGAAAAAATCACTTAAAAATTAAAGGTAAATATTGCAGGCACTGACCTTTGACCTATATCTTCTCAAACTTTCATCTAAAAGAGATTTACAAATTAAGAAAAGTGGCTACTCTTCTGGTTACTGATACAGCATTCACAAAACATATTCTATTTTGCAAAAAAATAAAAAAAAAATTGTTTACCTGAAGTGTACTGGCTAGATAAACTTTATGCAATAACTTGTGCCTCTTATATTTTCTTTTTCTAAACCATCAGAAAATGATAATGCAAATTATTATGCTACTTAGTATTCCACTATTTTAATCAATGCCTTCCGAATTTAGAGTTTCTTCTCACAATAACTTTGTTACTCCAACCACAGTTTTGAGTTTGACACCAAAATTAACATGCGTTTAACAAAAAAAAAAAACAACCCCCCCCCCAAAACAACACCTGGTCGGAGCCAAGATATAAATCACCTCCCATTCCCCAGAGTTTATTCAAGCTTGATGTGTTCCCTTTTCTTAATAGGGCTTTTCTGCCTAATTCGCTGTAATTGATGCTACGTGCAGGGCTCTCAGATATGTGGAGCTCTTTCTTTTTAGTTTCCCTGAGACTTTAAAATCAGTGTAAAGTTCAAAAAGAACTTTTTTTTTTTTTTTTACCATTTAGCGTGATGACTCTTCTACTTAGGGAAGATTAGTGCTACCAAGAAAAACTCCAACACACCTGGTCACTTCAGAGAACCTAAAAAACAGGCCCCCAAGAAAAGACAGGCAGGATATCTGCAAAAGCAATTTCCCAAGACTAATGTAAAAAAAAAGCTGAAACACCAACTTAAGCACGTAATGGAAGCACTGCATTAGCAGGACTGCCTGGCCCTCTCAGGATTTCTCAGCTCAGCCTCCAGGAGTAATTAATAACACATGTTTTCTTTATCATTCTCTTCGTTCTTCAACAATCTCTTCCCAACTTTAATCCGGGGCCGCCAACTGGAGGAGAAAACCCTAGAAAACTTTGTATCTGTAAATATAACGCCCCCCCCCCCCCTCAAAAAGAACGCTCCCACTGCAAAGGACCACAGTTACAATTTACTAGGTAACCACACCCACCGCATTGCAGAAGCCGTGAACTTGGGCCGGGGGGGTGGGGAGGGTTTGAAGGGAGAAGGGAAAGGGAGAGGGGGGAGGGGAAGAAGTAGGGCGAAATTAGAGGGGGAATCCGAGAAAGCAAGTCTCCGTGGCAGGAGCCGGGAAACCCCCGCCAGGAATTGGCTGAGACCACGACTCAAGCGGACTGAAGCCCGGGCCTCCCTACCCCCACCCGCCGCAGAGCTGCTCTCGCAGATACCACCCCAGGCGGCTCGCAGTCCCGCAGGCGCCAGGTGAGCCCTGCCGCTCCCGGCGCCTCGGCCTCCCCGCGCGGGGGAGGGGGAGGGGGCAAGGGGAGCGAAGGCCCGGACCTAGGGAGCCCCGCAGGTGCCGGAGGTTAAGGGCTACATCTTTAGGACGCTCCCTCCTCCCCCGGCGTCCGGGCTGCAGCCCTCGCCGCTGTCTGGGGTACGCTGCCCCAGTTCGGGGAAGGAGACAAGTTACATAAAAGCGCCGGCCCGCTCCCGAGTGCGGATGCTTTGTGCGGAGCGCACCTCATCCCCGCGCCAGGCACTCAGGACTAGCCCGCAGCCACGCCGCGCTGGGGCCCCTCCAGCTAGCCCCCCGCCCCGGGCGGCGCCTCGGTGTCGCACCCCTCCAGGCCCCCATCTCGCTGCGCAGTCTGCCTGGCCCTCGCCCCCACCCCAAGGGGGTAACTTAAAACATGGCGCCCCGAACGGGGGATTTGGGCAAATTGAGAAACAACGCGAGGACCGAGTCGCCCTTTTCGGCGAGGGCTCCCAGGGAGAGCCCCCCCAGGCCGGAGGCCGGTGCTCAGGCTCCGCGCGCCGGCCCAGCAAATGCTGCAGCGCGGCCGCGGGCGGAACGGGTGTGTTCCCGGGCGCGAGGCTTGGCGCACGGGCTCGGCCCGGCAAGGGTCCCAGCGGGCGTGCAGGGTCCAGGTCGGGCCCGGCGGGATCTGGGCTCCGACGATTCGGGCAGCCGGGAGGCGTGGGGGCTACGCGTCAGGGGCGCAGCCCCGCGCGCCTCGCCCCCGGCCTCCGGCTTATCCTCCGCACCTCGCAAACGGGAGACCCCCTCGGATCCCCCCTCTCTGGTAGGCAGAAAAGTTACCTCGGCTGGGCAGGGAGCCCGTGCGCGCGGCGGCGTGGGGACGGGCTCGGCGCACGTCCTCCAGGCAGTGCGCAGGAGGCGCGGGCGTGGGGAGGAAGCCGCAGACGCGGGCTGCTTGCCGCGGCTCCCCGCCCCCCTTTGCAGGAGACTCGGAGGCTCAGCGGAGCTGCGGTGGGGGCACACGCCCAGAGACAGCGCAGAGAGAGCCAGCCTCGTCCTGACTCCGATTCCCGGCTGCGGGGGAGGGGGCCACCGCTATACTTTAGGACTGTTACGTGGTAACAGCCTTCTCAATCCTGGCGTAGGGTCAGGCTGAAGACAACGCCTAGATACAGTTGCTAATAGCGTTAGCCTTTGGATGCCCAGTTAGATTACTGCCAGGGCCCTCTTTCCCCTTCTTAGCCACCCAGACACCCACTTTGAGAGTGGGGGGAGGGTGTTCCTGACATTCAGGTGAGTTACTTATTGGCTTAGCGATTGCAGTTATTTTTTTTTCTTTGTGAAAGTAAAAAAACATTTAAATTATTGGCATCTTGCACAGGTGGGCCCTCAAGAAATACTAAACTAATAAAGAAGACCTGAATTAAAGGTGAGGGAAGAGGCTTTTGTCTTTCAGTGGCCCCCCGCCTCCCCACCATAAATATTCAGTTACAGGTGGTCTTCTAAGCTTCCCAGATGAACAGGAAGTCATTATTGATAAAGCCTTACACTCAAATGGAGATGAGGGGGCTCATCACCCTCTGATTTGTAGATAAAATAAATTATTCCTGATCATCTCACATCGAAGTTCTAACCAAGTAACCCAGGCATATTTTTTGAAATGTTTAAGGCCCTCTCCATATACTCCTAGCCACTTTTCCAGGAACTCGCAGGCTCCTTCAGAGAGGGAAAGTAGAATCACAAAAATATTACATTTACTGTTGGGTGTCAACGATGTGATGCAGAAGTGGGTCTGGTCTGCCCCTGAGACTTGGCCTGTGTATCTAGGGTGGGGAAAACAGCAATAGAAAAAGGGAAGAGGCATTTTATAGATTGTATTCCCATACAGAAGATTGGAAAATTAGGGTTACAGTGTTGCTGTGGAGTTTATGGACCTGTATTCTTTAGATGTGCCCACTTTGGGAATGTTGTTAGCAAGAAAATGTGATTTATGTTATTGGAAAACTAACCTGTTGACACAGCAAAGACTATAATGGATGAGCAAATATCAGGAGCTGATAGGAAGTGACTATGACATTAGTCTAAGTAACAGAGGTAACAAGGGACTACACTGCCTTTAAAGTGACAAAGGTGATGTTCAAATACTGGATGATATATTTGGGGATCACCTGTATTTTCCTATTAGGGCCACATCAGTGTTAGAGGCATATACATATATGCATATATTGTGTTTGTGCTTATATAGCTGCCTGTGTGGCATATAAGATCCTTGAATGAAGAATGTATTAGTTTTCTTTTGTGTGCACACTAAAGCGCCTGCTTTAAGAATGGACTTGAACAAATTCTATTGTTTACAACAAACATTAAGTTGGCATTATTTGACACACAGATGGTTTCATATTTTCATTCATTTTATTGCCATATTTTTGCTATTTTTTTGAGAGCAAACTGTTTTCTACCTAATTCATGAATCTTAATCTCTCTCATGATAAGAGAAAATTAGCAATGGTGTACGAATGCCTCTTTCTTTGGAGAAAATGTCAGAATCCTAAATATTATTTTTTAAAAGTTAGAAGTCCCTAACTAATTGTCCTAATATTCTATTAATTCAAAATTTGAAGTAGGAAATGTACTGCTTCCTAGTAATAGTAAATCTGGAAGCAAGTACTTTGAAACCCTTTGGGCTTGACCAGCACTTTCCAATATTTTTGTTTGTATGTTTGTCCCAGCACAGATACGGAGAAAATGAAATACCAAACAAATTCAAGAGCAGCACATAGCTCTGTCAGTCAGCAACTTGCTTGCATCTCTGTAATAAACTTTCTTCCTTCTACCTTGTTAATATTATGTAGGAACCCTCTTAGTCATCTTTGTCTCCCCACAGTGCCTCATTGGGTACATTGCAAGCCAAACACTGAACATATTAATGAATGGATGTCGAATAATGAACTTAAGTGTAAAGGACTAAGTTTTCACTTTAATGGTTCAGTTTCTCATGTATAAAATTAGCTGCTATTTCCAAAATCCTTTATGCCTTAAATATACTAGGGTTCTATTCTGCACAGCAAAAGAAACCCTCAATGAAGCAAAAAGGCAACCAAATGAAAGGGAGAAGATATTGCAAACAATACATCCAATAAGGGGCAAATATCCAAAATATATGAAGAATTCATACAACTCAACAACAAAAATATAATTCAATTTGAAAATGGTCAGAGGACCTGAACAGACACTTTTCCCAAGAAGACATAAAATTGGCCAACAGGTATATGAAATGACACTCAGCTTCACTATTAGGGAACTGTAAAGCAAACCTGCAATGAGATACCACCTCACACTTGTTAAAATGGCTATTATCAATAAAACAAAAAAAGTGTTGGAGAGGATGTGCAGAAAAAGGAACCCTTATATACTTCTGGTGGGAATGTAAACTGGTACAGCACCATGAAAGACAGTATGGAATTTTCTCAGAAAAACTAACAGTAGAGCTACCATATGACCCAGCAATCCCTTTTCTGAGTATTTATCTGGTATATATATCTTTACAAATAAATGTATAAATATATATCTATAGAGGTATATATCTCTATATTATAGATATATATATCTATATCTTTACAAATAAATATATAAATAAATATGTATCTCTCTCTCTCTCTATGGAGATATATATACATATATCTCCCATGTTCATTGCAGCCACTATTCACTGTAGCCAAGATATGGAAACAGCCTGTGTCCTTCGATGGATGATTGGACAAAGGACATGTAGTACACACATACAATGGAATACCAGCTCAGTCATAAGAATGATGAAATACTGTCATTTGTGACAACATGGATGGATCTTGAGAGTATCATGCTAAGTAAAATTAGATGGAAAGGGACAAGAACCATATGATTTCACTCATATGTGGGATATACAAGGGGGGACCCAAAAAATGGAATTTACTTATAAAAAATTGTGTACTTATTCTTACATATTTAAATTTCAGTCACCTTCAAAGTACTCTAATACAATACACCTATCAAAAAGCATTTTTTTCTAGGGTTCAAAACAGTTTTTGAATTCATTGATGCCTTTTAGTGCTTCTGCCATTTTTTTTGTTTCCCCTCTTCCACACTAGCAAAACTTTGAAGACTTTTTTCACCCAGAGAAACAAACAAAAAAAGTCACTCGGGGCAATTCCATTGAAAAGGTAGGGTGGGGCATGGGATTCATGTGGTTTTTGGTCAAAAACTGCTCAACATTCATCAACATGTGGGAGGCAAATCACCCATCATGAAATGGGCAAACACAATGAAAGAGTCTTCAAAAAAAAATTCATTGAAGTCCAATGCAGCCTCTCACAACAACGCCAGCTGGTGCACTGATACAGATGGGTTCCTAGAGCACTCACCTAGTGGGGGAAGCCTGTACTACAAGGGGACTGGCCTCCAGAAGATAATTCTGATTTGTTTTTAGTCCCCCATCATAAAGCAACAAATGAGCAAACAATATAAACAAACTCAGAGAGAGAGAACAGTATGGTGGTTACCAGAGGGGAAGGGGGGTGGAGGGAGAATGAAGAGGGTAAAGGTGCTCAAATATATGGCGGTGGAAGGAGACTAAACTGGGTGATGAGCACACAATGTAATATACAGATGATGTAGTATAGAATTGCACACTTGACATATATAATGTTATTAATCAATGCCATGCCAATAACTGTAATGAAAAATACTAGGGTTCCATAAAATAAAAAGATATTATTACATCTTAATACCAGCTGAGTAAAAGCAATAATGAAAAACCTATTTACCCTCATCTAGAAATAAAATAATGAGTTCTTCCATGTGGAAAAGAGGAGGAAAGTAACAAAGTCAAAGCAGCATGGTGATACCATTACAGTTGGAACTGCTTTCTTTCGTAAAAGATTAAGTTTTCCCCACATCCCCCTCACTTACAAAAATAAAGCCATTGTCCTCCCAGAGAATTCTTTCTCCTTATCAGTATATAACTCCTCCTGGTGCTTTTCCAAAAAGTTACAGAAAAGTAGTTCTTGTGTCCAGGAAAGGCCTTTCACATAGTACCAGAGTTAATGCAGATTTGGCGTGAGAATTTGGGTTTCTAGTTTAATATGTCCACATGGCAAAAAACGAAATAATTCATGAAACATGGGAAAATATTCTATGACTCCAACCTATTCTAAGGTGCCCATTCTAATCTCTTCCACTATACTAAGGCTTACTTTTCAACACTAATCTTATTTCTGGATTTCTTGAAGTTGCTCTAGTGTATATAAGATACATCACTGAAAACCAACAAGTCATCCAGAGTTGTAGCCATGGTACAGAGAAAAAGAGCACAGCTAACTTCAGGTAAGAGAAGTGTATAACTTCATGCCAGGCTATGGAGACAGAATTTCCCATGGACCTCAATCCAACCACAAGAGTCAGCAGTATATATACTCATTAGTATTTGCTGATACTCTGCTACCTGAAGAGCAATAATAACTCCAACCTGATAGCCAAGACAAGGGCAGAATTTTCAGATTATACTACAGTCATTGGCAGTTTCATTTACAAGACTCCAGAAAAAAATGGAAAATCTGTCCTTTGGAACTTTGCCCTCAAACACGAGGATTGGTAGAATGCTGAAGCTTGACCAAACCCTGCAAACACTATTCTAATAAGGCATGCAACACTCATTTTTCCTCTCTGACAATCTCAGACCATCTTTACCTAAAGAATTGTGATATTTAAAAATTTATCCATGTACTTTAGTCCTCTAAGTTAACTGTTTTTCAACCTGCCTTAGTAATGTCAACAACACTTGCACTAACTCGCTGAGGCTTACTGTATGCACAGTAGAATGCCGGGTGCCTGAATTGCATATCAAGTCCTTGGAATCAGGACACAGTGTTCAGCCA